ATGTATGTATATATCGATTCATGAATTCCACTTATGTGATTTCTCTATTTCTCTTATATATGAAGAAAGTGTTTTGTTTTTCTTTTTTTTTTCTTTGCGAATATAATCCTGTGTCATGTTCGATCACGAGAGGATTGAGTCTGCTCGGCGCCCCGTCAAAAACGGGCCTCAGCAATTAAAGACTGACCAAGACCTGCATTACACTAAAAACTCTTGTAAGATCACTGCATTAAATATATTTGTACATACCACGTCTAGATGTAACTTTAACAAAGAGAGGAGAAGAAATTTATGCGGAATAAATTATATTTACCTTAGAAACACCCGGCCCCTCTTCTTTTACGTCAACCATCCATCTTACGTCACGTCTACCTACGCAATCTCTTCGCCTGCATACACATTTGGATCAACTAGAGACGTAGAAAAGAAGATATTCCATTTCTCATAATTTTAACTACGCAATCGCGATCTAATAATAATTATTTTCCATTTATCACGGAATTACAAGGGGATACATAATAATCAAGGAAAAAGTAAAGAGACTTGGAGATGCAATTAAAGATTTTTTTTATTACATCAACGTAATACTGGCTAAGGGTCAAAACAATGTCATAGAACGCGTCTATGGTCAGCAGGAGGGACAGCGCCGAGATCAACATGAGCGATTCACGACGGATGTCTCGTCCTCTTTAAGGCGAGATCGTTCTCCCTCCTTAAGAGGGGGAGGCAGCCGACGATTCGCCGACGACAAGAGAGGGAGCATAGTCTAATGATCCCCATATAACTACAGATAAATATCTTATAAGTATAATAAAACTAATCGTACAGAGAGCGAGGCAACCAAGTCTCGGAACAAATCAGCCTTAATGAACCCTTCGAAAAGAATCGAGAGAAGTCTTGCTGGGTATGCGAGTCAGCGGCGCTCACCTCGACGTCGCCGATCACGGCGCAGTCAAGTACTCGTCGCTGCTCCGTCTCCCATAGAAACGGGACATTCGACGAAGAAAAGGCAATGCACCCGCTGTCTCGCTCGTTCCTCTCGTGAGAGTAGGGGAAAGGATCCCGAGCGCGGCTGTCTCCGCAACCACCCCGTGATTGTTGCTGATGCTCGGTGTTGTATCAATTGAAAAACCTAACTACACAGAGTCCAAGGGAACTGAGTACCTGGTAAATACCGGACACATATCGTCAATATCGATAATTAAGATAAACGCGGTAAGACGCGGGGCAACGCTCCTCCTAGCATATGTGAGGTGTGCGCGGGGCATGGGTGAACTGAATGTGCAGGTTCGGATAGATGCGCGGGTTTAACACTACCGGATAATGTAACGGGGGTAAGCACAACATCTTATGACTTTTGGTATTAGTCGACGAGTATGAGTCGAGCGGGGCAGCCACCGCGGCGGCATGCTGCATCCTGACGGTGGATCCTTGCTGCTGCACGGGGATGCCTGCTGCCACAGGGCATCTGCCGGCGGACTGCGAGCTTCCGAGGAAGCTTGATGGTTACTTTTTCTTCTGGGCTTTCTCCGCGGCCTTTGTTACCTTGCCCTGGGTATCTTTGAAAGTAACGCTCTGCGGGGAAATAAACCAATCGTTAAATTATATATATATAACTGTATGAATTTATGTCTAATATTAGGTGTAGTAAAAAGAAATCCATTATTTTTGCATGAAATTGAATGGAAAAATAATGAATTTCTTTTTACTACATCTAATATATCTTTTTTTTGGAACAATTAGTATTCTGTAGTCTAGATATTAAATTTGAGGAAAAGAAAATTTGATATTATCTTTAAAATAACATTATGTTTTTCACGGTTTAAATTATTTCGAAATATACAAAGTCAACAAGAAGCAGATATCAACAAGAAGCAAAATCAGTTTTTATGAATTTAATGAAAATATTATACAAACATTAAAAATTATTAATGTTACACAAATATCAAATTATGAACAATTTTGTTATGATAATTTGCATAAAGTAAATATTTTCCGTACAAGCTTGAGCAGTTATCAACCGCAAGTTTGAAATAAATAGAATGTACAAACAATAAAAGAGAGACTTTGGTAAATAATTATATGCTGCTTCACATAATAATAATTTTTTTGAAATACGTATTTTATATGTATATATTTCAACATGTAAAAACTGAATCTGCTCGGAAAAAATTATCACTCTTTTCGTTTTTATATTATTATTTATACTATTTGAAATAGTAATTAATAAAACTTACATAATAATATTCGATAAATTCTTCAATTCGCAAATTCTTAACAAACTCTGCAGGTTATTTTTGCAGGTTACATAAATTATTAGCTTTAGCACTTGTAATTATACAAACAAAGAATCACTCTTTTATAAATTTTAATAGAAAATAATTTTCGTATGTTATACTTAACGAAATGAAGAAAATAATCGCGTTTTTAAACTTTGTTCTTGAACAATATTATAAAAAGCGTAATAAGAGAGCAAATTTATTTTTTTGCCTTCAAATAAATACATGAAAAAAATTGGTAAGGTAGCTTCTATTTGAACATTTATCAAAAATTTGTTGCTTTGAAACAATTTATCATGTGAAATAGCAAGAACAATATAATATTGATTGACTCGAAAATATTTTGTTTCGCTAAAGATTTTCCTTCGCAAAGATTTCAAGAATAAATTATGATGAGCTTCATTTTAGATATTTAATAAACGATTATCTGTCAAGCAAAAGAAATAGGTTTTTTCATTGTCGATTCTCTTATTTCGCATACGATAAAAAATTTTCAAAGATATTATTGATATATAAAGATATTATGAAAAGATATTATTCCACTGTGATAAAAGATAAAAACCAAAAACAGATTAAATCCCAAGATCCCAACCGAATAATATTAATTTAAAAAAAAAAATGGAAATTCAAACAATAAGAAGATACTCTTTATATTTGAAATCGCGTTCTCAGTCTGCTTTTATCTTAAACCTTTCAAAATAATTCCTCGTACCTTAATGACACCCACGGCGACGGTTTGACGCATATCGCGGACCGCGAAGCGACCCAAGGGCGGAAACTCCTGGAAGGATTCGACGCACATCGGTTTGGTCGGCTGCAACATTACTATTGCAGCATCACCGCTTTTTATACCCTTTGGATTCTCCTCGGTGGTCTTGCCGGTACGACGATCGCATTTTTCCTTGATTTCAGCAAACTTGCAAGCGATGTGAGCAGTGTGGCAGTCAAGCACTGGCGTGTAGCCATTGCTGATCTGTCCCGGGTGATTCAGGACGATTACTTGGGCGGTGAAGTCGGCGGCACCGCGCGGCGGTTGATTCTTGGAATCGCCAGCGACGTAACCGCGTCTCAATTCCTTCACGGAAATATTCTTCACGTTGAAGCCAACATTGTCACCGGGCAGAGCTTCCGTCAATGCCTCATGATGCATCTCGACGGATTTCACCTCGGTGGTGAGAGCCGCCGGCGCGAAAGTTACCAGCATACCTTAAAATTGTAAATTTATGTTTATTTATAAGAATCTATACGTTAGTCCGATAAATGTCACAAAAGATAATTAACTCTCCACTGGCAATGTTGAATTTTAAAAGCATAAAGTTGATTTTTTAATTGTGAATTCTGGTAGATAAATTAAATCTGTAAAAAGATAAGTAAAATACAATTAAACTTCTATGATAATAAAAACTCGTTATTAAAATTTTTACAAGTATGTAAGAATTTTTTTAGATTTTTATACAATTTGGAAACAACATAAACATCTACACTGAAAACTTAAATTGTAGACGAAGGATGAAAATTTTACATTACCTAATGAAGGATATAGTATATAAACAAAATAATAATCATCATTGTTCAAAACAAGTAGAAATATTAAACGTGATTTTAGACTATTTTTAAGTGATGCGGGTTTTTGTAAGGACGATTTGTAGTTGGTTTGATCTCAACCGTCATTCCATATAATTTTCGGTTTTTATAAAAGATTGATTAGAGAGTTGAATTTTTAATTTATGAATAAAATTAAATAGTGATCCACTTAAAAAATTTAGATTTCATTTATTAATTACTATCTTCCGAATTTGCTTCTTGCGATTAAAATTATTCCTTCTAATTCTTTTTTCCAGAAGTCATATTAGTACAATTAGTACAATCACCTGGTTTCAAGATACCGGTCTCCACGCGACCGACAGGCACCGTTCCAATACCACCAATCTTATAGACATCCTGAAGTGGCAGCCGTAAGGCTTTATCGGTGGGTCTGGAAGGTGGCAGAATGGCATCGAGAGCTTCGATGAGCGTCTTGCCGTCGGCATTGCCATCCTTGCGCTCCACCTTCCAGCCCTTATACCAAGGAGTCTTCGGGGACGGCTCGAGCATGTTATCACCGTGCCAACCGGAAATCGGCACGTAGGCGACCGAGGCGGTATTGTAACCGATCTTCTTGATATAAGATGATACTTCCTTCTTAATCTCCTCGAAACGCGTTTCCGAATACGGCGGATCAGTCATATCCATCTTATTGACGCCGACGATCAGCTGCTTCACGCCCAATGTGAAGGCGAGCAAAGCGTGTTCGCGAGTTTGTCCATTTTTCGAAATACCGGCCTCGAACTCGCCGATACCAGCTGCAACGATGAGTACCGCGCAGTCGGCCTGGCTGGTGCCGGTGATCATGTTCTTGATAAAAT